GGAATTCAGGCCCTAGAAGGTCCACTTTTTATTGGAGAACGCTGCATAGAAACAGAAAGTCATGAAACCCTATGGTAAGCGGAGTGGTAGGAGAGATGCACGCGAAAATACAGCCGTGAGAGAGGGGCATGGTCAGGGAGTTCTGCTTGGAAGAGGTGGAGAAAATCGATCCAAAACTTCATTTTGGAATCAGAGCGAATCCACCTAAAAATGCTTTTTGGTAGTAAGTAACAGAAAACTGGCTCACTGACTTGAAAAACACAGTTAATTTATTTTTCAAACGACTACAAGTTCAAAGGAAAGGTGGTTTGATACAGAGGCTCACCGTGTCTTCAGGAGTGAGCTTCCTGTTTCTCCGCCATCTGCTGTTGGAAGATCTGCTGTCCTCTGTGGGTCAGTTTCTTTCTTAGACTGATTTTCCTCATGGAGACAATGGCTGCAGCAGATCAAGGCCCAACATCCATATGCCACATGGTCCAGATGACCCAGAACTGCAGTCAAAGCTTCTGAGATTCGCTCTATTGGACTGGGTGAAGTCACATGCCTGCTCCAGTCCTGTGGCCAAGGGCTTGGAACACACTGGCCATCTTAGCCTAGGTCATAGCGCTACCCCTGGAGAAAGGCTTGTGTCAAACGTTTGGAACGAATACATGAATGTAACCTGTGTGTGTGTGTGTGTGTGTGTGTGTGTGTGTGTTTGTGTGTACTCACACATATCTGCTATACATGGGAAGCGGAGTGCCTTGCTGAGCCTTCTGAAACAGCACATGAGATACCATCATTCATCAGCACACAGTGGCATTGGTTACAGCTACGGGACACTCCGTAGTCTTCAGTGAGGCGTTATGACCAAGTGTGGACAGAAGAGGACCCAGCTTTTTTGAAAACCAAGCCTGTTTCTTAAAGGAGAGTCCTATCAACCCTCATCATACCTCGGCTTCTGGAATACAGTAAATCAGAGCCTCACTGGGCTTGGCCAAACACCCCATCTTGTCGGAGAAGGGGTCGGGGGCAGTAGTGTATCACTCAGGAGGGCTTATGTCATGCTCTGGTGACAAACAACCCCCAAATCTCATTGGCTTAATACACACCCACATCCACGGTGAGTCCAGGTGAGTCTCCAGGGCGATGGCCCTCCCTGTGATGACTCCGGGATTCAGACAGAAGGGACCTCCACTGTCCTGGAGGCCCCATGCATTCCCGGGACCTACAGCCTCCCGAGGCAGAAGAGCAAGGGAGGAGGCGGCTGGAGGGTCAAACTCTTGGCTCACGTTTCATTGACTGAAACAAGTCACGTGGCAGCAACTAACAGCAAGGGGTGGGTAAAGGTAGTCTGTGCCCCTCTGGGAACTGGGTATTGGCGAATGCTGGGAAGGCATTCTCCGATTCCTGGGCTCCTCGAGTGAGAGCAGAGAGCTGAGCCAGGTGCCACACGCCGGCCCACTGCGCGTTAACCAGTCTTCCGGGACCCCAGCCGCCACACCAGCAGCATGTTTCCAGAGGGGAAAGAGACTGCCCATGCAAAGATGAGCCCCTCCCGGTCCCCTGCACAGGATCGGTATTTTCAATAATACTTTGTGAGTTCAGCCTCAAAGTAAATGGTTAATTCATCTTGTATCAACAGCACTGTGATTCATAATGTAAACTTGGAGAATCCTTGATGTTTCAGGGCCCACATTCCTTTTAATTTGGCTCTGCATTCTTTTAAAGCCACAGTGTGCTCACTTAATAGAATGCAGCATGCAAATGCACAAGTTTTTGCCTGGAGGCAATTTAGCCTGGCTGGTTCAATGGATGTCTTCTTTCAAGTGTATATTCTTTCTTAAATTATTTACTGGGTAAACACACTTTGCATTTTCAAAAGGGAGATTAAGACTGCTTGCTGCATACCTAGTTGAACAGAAATCCCACCCACCACCCCCATCACCCAAAGTTAAGAAGAAAGCTGTTTTGGGCCTTCCCAAAGTCCCTTCTCTGGCTCACTAACTGGGAACCCCTCTTCCTGCTGTTTTTCTGATTCTCTCCAAACTCTGCATTCCTTTCTGCTTTGCCCACAGTGGTACCTGCCAGCAGCCCATGGCTCTGACTATACTCAGGCTTCCTCACAGATGGGGCCCACCAGTGCCAGCCTTTTTCCTCCCTATCCCCCAGATTGGCTCAGTCCTGTCTGCTCAAGGGCCCCAGCCATGCATTGTTCTCATTCTTACAGGTGCTGCATTTACCCAGCACCTTTGAGATCTGTAGCTGGGTCACTGGCCTGGCCAGACTCAAGCCTACATCCCACTGGGTCGGCTCCAACTCTCTTTTTGCCCTCTAAACCCGTCATCCCAAATATCTACCAGCCATTGGTTTGAAAGCAAATGCTCTATCCTGCCGACCTCTTCCATCCACCACCAACACACGCCTCATTTGAGGTACGTTGTTGGTGTGAGGACCATCCCTTCTCCCAGCTTCCGGAAAAGACCCGGTAGTGCTCTGAGAATGCACAACAGTAGGAAGCTCCGTCTTTGCAGATTTACTTCAGCTTTTAACTTCAGCCTTTTCTACGCAGACTCCCCGAGATCTCCCTGCAAATTAATTTGCACAGGTCTTCGTTCTTCCTTGAATGGAAAGATGACAGTTAAGGGGGCTGCACTCTTTCATTGTCGTCCTTTGGACAGTTGTACGTGTCAGTGGCTGTGCCGTGCGCTGGTGCTGGAGAGGTGACTGTGGACCCACCGAGGAGGGAGTGGGCGATTCAGTGTTTCTGATCGCCTGTGACCCAACGGTGAGGTCACCTGCCTTGGGATGGGGTGTCTGTTGAGTGAACTGAAAAGGTAAGCTGTTAGGAAAGGTCGTGGGTGAAATGCGCCCCTCTTTGCCTTGTGATGAGGGGAGTCCAATTAGGAAGGCCGCGGAAGAGCCGAGAATTTCAGATTCCTGTGCATTTGTTTTCCTAACCATGCCTCAGATTAAACAAGTAACATCCACAGTTAATCCTTTATAAATGAGCATCATGGATGCCTTGGGGCCCTCAACCCACAAATAAAATGGTTGTCAACCAAGAGACATGCTACCGAATAGTACTTAAGGCAGAATTTTAAAGAGTTTTCATGCTTTTAATCTGTTCACTGCTGAGTTTCAATTTTGCTGATTTCCTTTGCAAGTCTGATGCGGGTGACCGTGGTAAATAGAGATTGTGACAGTGACGTGGGCAAACAGGATGTGCTGGGGCTGTTCTGCAGACTTCTGCCCCTTCCAGAGAAAAGGGGAGAAAATCAATTTGGGTTTTCAATCAAGCTACCAACCAGCACCGATCACTGTTCATAATTAGCCCCACTTTAACGAGCCGTGAAGTCCTGCTCGTATTTATTTATTTTGGGGGCGGAGCATCTTCCTGCCTCCCGAGTAAATATGGCCTGTTAAATCTGAATTAGCTGTCACCGCGGAAGAATTAATGCAGGGGCGCAGCCTTTCTAGTGGGGAAGGGAAGAAATAAACAAGACAGATCTTAGCTGGGCCGACCGTGATGAATGAGGACCGCGAGGATCATTCATCTCCTTCCCGGGAAGTGGACACAGGCACTAACGCAGTTTTGCGGAAGACGTGTCAGCAAATGTGATCATTTTGTAACCTGTCAGGAGAAGAGGGAGCTGGTCCTTCCAGGGGGCAAAAGGGAGTGGGCCTGTCTGATACCATGGTCTCCGTCCATCCATTTAGGTTTGGGCCGGGAGGGGGTGGGCAGGGAGGAATCTGACCAAAACCCCAAAGGTGTCATCATCCTTCCAAGAAAGAAACTCCTCCAGAAGCTAGGAAAGGCTGCGAACTCCCCGCAAAGATTCCTTCTCCGAGATGTAAAGTAGGAGGGAGGGGTCTCTGTTAAACAGGCCACCTGGCTAGCCCCACCTAGCTCTTCCTGTGGACGGAGGTGCAGTCCCGTGGTCTGTGTCTAGACTAAGGCAGCAGGCCTCTCTGTGCCTGGAATTAGGAGGACGGGCGGATGGGGTTTGCTGCCGGGCCTCAGCCGAGCGGACGGACAGCCAGCCAGCCAGCCAGCCTGCCAACCACTCTCTCTTTTCGTGCGGTCGCCTCTGTGAGAGTGAGTGTGGGCGAGGCTGTGCGACCTCGGTTCCCACTGAAAGTCTCAACAAAGCGTTCTGGTGTTTAACCACGTTTCTCAGAATGAGGTAGCAAATTATGAAACAACTGCATCAGAAGCTCAGGACAGGCATCCTGCAGCGGGTCCCTCCACTCCGAGTCTCCTTCTGAGTTTCAAGTTCCGCATCAGCATCCGGCAAAGCCAGAGCTGAGGGGGTTGGAGTCTCTGGAGGTGACAGCCCACCAGCCAAAGCCTACGAGGCACTTGGGTACTTCGTATTGTTTCTCATTTCCATATTTCCATCTTTTTTTTTAATATGGAGCAAATGTAACATTTTCTGCCGGCGTCACGGAGCGTGAGCCCCAGTGACAGATGATGGTTTCACAGCCTGAGCTACACGCTTGACACTTGCTTCTTAATCTCGTCCTTTTCCTCCTACGTCTCTTTTTCCCTTTTCCCCATGTAGTTTTGTACAGGTAAGTACCTTCCTGACATGTTTCCTTAGAGTCTTTTACCTTAACCGGAAACACTGCAAAAAAAAAAAATGAGGCTTGTCTCACATTTTAAATTAAAAAGAGAAACCCTCGTGGGGCCCTTGATCATGTAAAGATCACGACATGGCACCTGGAAAGACATTTGATTCCCGTTAGCTTCACAGGAAGCGTTTCTCCGGGTGCAGTGTGGCATGCACTGTGGAGTCGTGCCTTTCCTTCTGGGTGGTGTTTAGATCCCAAAAGCTGTGTGGTCTCTCTCACACACACACACACACACACACACACACACACACACACAGGCCCCGCACCAGGCTCCCCGCCCCAACCTGTGAGGCCCTCATTTGATTAGCCGACTTGAGCTTGGACGAGCTTCGTCAGAATGCCCTCCGATCGTGTGCGATCATTTCTGTTTCTTTGCTCTCTCCTAGAATCATCCAGAACCGCATCCTGGTCGTCGTCCTGGCCATCACCCTGGTTGTCACCATCCTGATGGCGATCATTTTTTCTCTCAGAAGACACTGATGTATCTGCTCTTCCTTGATAAACAGCAACCGCGGCTTGTTCTGAGTAATTAAGACAAAATGGTCACATGCATCATCCTTTGGCGCCGACAGGCCCCGAGCGACCCTCCTCTCTCGCCACTGTACAGCTGAAGTGCAAAGAGTGTAAAAGATATTTTTTATTCTCGTTTGCATGTGGGTTGGTTTCCTTTTCTAGGCTTGTCTTCACCCAGATTTGTTTTTCATGGGGGAAGGTGGGTGTTGACTTGCCTTTTGGTCATTTCACCTACTGACCAAAATAGCCCTGGTGATGTCCTTCCTTGCCCCGTGTCCATGTCAGGGGTCATGGTCTGGGAGAGGGCGTAATGAGTCTGTCACGGGGGCTTCTGATGGGCCGTGCTGTTTGTCACACACCTCTTGTCACCGACTTGCCCTTCTGTGATGTCCAAGGATAAAAATGCAGAGAAAAGCAGGGGTCAGAGCCAGTGACCGGATTCAGCAAACCAGCCCTGTTCCTACCCCAGCATAATGAATAGAGTCAACCTGCTGAATGTGTTCATTGTGAAGGTGGGTATTTCATGTCAGTTGCGCAGGAAATTGACTTAGCACTTTCTCTGTTTTTCTACGCATATTTTTTCTTTACACCCAAGACTATTTTTGCTGAGCCTGCCCAATATCCACTTTTCACAACTTTGATTACTGGCTTCAAGAAATAGTTCCATACCTTCCCCAAAATCCCATGCTCCCCAGAATTTGCTGGCAAAGTGAGTCCTGGCCCTGTATTTAATTGTGACCTCCTCTCCCCTGACCTGTGTAAGCATTCCTGTATCCTTTCGGTTTTAATATTTGCACTGCCGAAAGCAGCCCTCAGACATGCAAAAGGTCTGACAAGGTTCTCTCCACATCCATTTCCGTATGTAAAGAGAACATGAATATTTCAGGAAGAGCAAGAACATGACTCCGTCAGTGTGAAATTTCAGATGTGATTATAAATATGGTGGAGTCCTATAGGATGATCCGCTAGAAATAAACTTTATGGAAAAAAAAAAAGGTGCACTAACCTTCTTTCAAAGAAAGGGGTTGCAGCGTGTTGCAAAAAAGACAGCTTGGGTTTTTTACTAACAAATGTCAGCCTCGCCTTCCAGAAGTCACTATGTATTCAAACCTCTAACATGCTTTGTGATTTTCTTCGCTTTCTTTCTGTCCGAGGTAACCGGGAATTGCGTTCAAAATGAGTTCATTTACGATGGGGCTTCGAGTTGCCTGAGCTGAGGTCATTCTCCTTCTAGTCATGAAGCAAAATGTGTTTTTCTTTAAGGCTTCCAAAGCACTTGCAGGGTCCGTACTATCTTTTGAATACAATTAGATGCTTTGAACCCTTGAAAACCAAACATGCTCTCTTCATAAAAAATGCTAACCACCTGTGCCCATGGATGGAGACCACCTAGATCTCCATCTAGCACTTAATGTTTTTTTTTCTCCAACTCAGAAGAGAATCATTATGGTTTAGGGAGGAAATGCAGAATGACAAAACGCACTAGAGAACTCGTACTTACTGAAACAGGCCAGGGCCTGCGCGCGTTCAGATAAATCATTTAGTATTGTGTGAGTAGCGCTGCAGCCTTGACTTCGCAGGGATGGTGTGAGATTTTGGCAGAGGAAATAGGACAGCCGAGGAGCGGGAAGGCTGTGCTGATTTTCCCATCGGCTTAAGGGATCCACCGCAGCAAGAATCTTTTATTCTGACCATGGCATTCAGCATGTGCTAAACACATCGAGGAAACTATTTAAAAGCAAGAAAACAAACAACCCACTTCCTTCTTATTCTGAAATACTAACGGTGGGGAAGTAGTACCCCAACCTCTCTGGTGGCTTCCTCCGAAACCCTTGATCTCACCTCAAGTGCGTAGCCAGTTTTCCGGCTACTCTGCACGTCTCCAGATTCTTGCCGAGGCCGCGTAGCAAGCCACACGGATCTGATCATCTCAACTTACCAGCTGCCAAGTATTTCACGAGACCCTCGTGTTCATGCTGAAGTAGATGAAGGAAGAAGGAGTGTGTTGCTCACCTCTTAATGGCCTTTTCTTTGGGGTTCTATCTCTTTATCAGCTCTTGTCCGAGATATTGCCCCAATTCAGCATCAAAGGTGGAAAGAATATGAACAGATAACCCTTGGTCTAACGGCTCCTTCAACCACCCCCCCATGAGAGCAATCCCCTAGCCTGACGTAGTGAGTGCCTTGTGGGAAGCTGGTCCAAAGGCCCCTGAAACTCGTTGTCTGGCCCTCCTGGATGCTGTAGGAGCAACTCAAAGGAGCCCTAAGAGAGACGGTTTTTTGTTCTTCTTCCTTCCGCGCTCTCCCACGCTCCACTGGGGAAGGAAGAAAGCCCACAGATTCGAAGCAAGGGAAAGGTTCTAGGAACTTAATAAGTAGACTTCAATTGATGAATATTTCTAAAGTTGGGAATATTGTTTAAAATACTTGTTCAACGTGGAGCTAGGGGGTGATAATGAAGACGCAGAGGAGGAAGAAGAGGAGGAAGCCATCGCCGTATAAAATTCCCTGCAGACTAAACCGTTTCCCCAACAGAATAAATAAGGCAGATGCTACCCGTGCTCCAGAATCAAAAGCACTTTAATTAAAGTCTCTTAAGTTGTAGAGAGTTCGCCGTGTTTTCCACGTTGAAGGAGAATGCCCGCGCGAATGCAGTGGGCTTGACGTCAGCTGCCTGCCTGGGCCGGGAGGCCATTTGCTATTCTGTTTAAGGCAGGCTGGATTGTCTTATTTTGGAACCAGCTTGGTGGGGGGTTTGCTTTGCTACTGCTTCTGAGCCCTGAGCTTCAAAGGCTGAAATTAATGGCGAACAAAATTGTGCAGCTCTGGCCGTCCCATGCGGGGCAAGCCCATTGAGGGTTATCATTAAGTAAAGAAATAAAGAGGGGGGAAAAAAGCCTGCCTGTTCCAAAAACCTCATCAGATAATGACCTCAGCGATTGGGTTTTATTACCAAGCAGCATCCAGAGATTATCTATCTATGCCATAGAAGAAGGGAGGGGGGAGGGAGGAAAAGAAAGAAAGGAAAGCAACTGTCTTTCTCTCCCTCTCTTTCTCCCTCTCTCTCTCTCTCTCTTTTTTTTTTTTGGCACATCTTTTCTTTAAAACTGTCAGATCATTTCAGTATTTCAAATCCAAGGAAAACAGCCTGCCTGCTGCTGTATTTGAAGTTGTAATGGTGTCAAAAAGTCACGACTGACTGACAGCCATCAGTCCCAGAGGGGCTCATTAAATCATAAAAACTTGACAAGGAAATAATTGCGCATCGCCAGCAACTTGGCGCCTGTTTAGACGTTTTTATTTTCTTTCATTATTAGTCCCCACCATTACGTTCATTAACAAATTGCATTAAACAACTGTTAAGGGCTAATGATTTGTTTATCGCTTTTTTTTATTATTATTATTTAAACATTAGCTGTGTCATGTGGTACCCCAGCAGCCTCTTGCCATCATCTGACTGAATATTTTTCCACCCTGAGCTCTGGGTACTGTTGGAATATGAAATAGATTATTCATTACTCTCCTCTTTGCCACTGATTTGGTTTCATGTAGCGTCTTCCACAGAGAAAGATGAAAACTTGTCAAAAATAGGTTATATCTTATTCGAAGGGGCAACAATAGCAGCAGGTACAGGCACACTTTAATATTTAATTAAGGTTGATGTTAACCCCTTTAAATGACTTTTGCTGTAAGTTCCATTCAAATGCAGAAGAGAAAAATAATTGTTCTTAATTTGCAACCTGTTCAGCAGGCACTCTGCATGGAGTTAGCTGGAAATTGAGAGCCGAATTTTTAAATAATGAAATTTCCCGTCATAAATATTTATCGCCACTTGTTTACATAGTTGAGAATTAACGACGAGCGATGATTTCCTCATCTCTTTGGTCTGAACTGCTAGCCTGGTGGGTCACCCGGTGCTTGGGAGGGGAGGCGGCTTTCCTGAGAGAAATGCGGGTCTGGAGCCGAGAGGTGGTTGGTCGGCTGTGACTGGGGCCTGTTTCAAAGGAACCACTGTGAGTCCCAGGTCCCTGGTCCACTTGCCTCCCCCTTGCGCTGAGTGTGTGGTTGGAGGACTGTGGTCTGCAGTGAGAGTAGGTAGAGGCTTCTTAAAAGAGCACTTGTGTGTCCCGGAGGGTGTGGTGAGCGGATGCCCGGAGTCTCTCTGTATCGTCAATGAGCTCATTGCGGACAGCGCTTCCCTGGTGGGCAGCAGGAGCCACGCTTTGGGGTTGCTGACCCCTGCGCCATTTTCCCTTTCTGTGACTAGCCGTTGGCGAAATGATTGGCTTTTCCATGGGCTGTAAGCTTGCGGGGAAAAGGTCCATCCTCATCATCATGCCACGTCAGAAGTCCATGGCCTTCTCCGTGCTGTAACCGCTAGCCGCGCTGACCATTCCGTTGTATGCCGTGAGTTTACGTAACCATGGAAGCCACACTCAGAGATCTGGTTCATCAGCACTCCAGGGATGGGCATTATGGTCAGTGTCAGGGGACGGGCATACCTTTCTCCCAGTCTGTTTCTGCTCCCACCCACCCATCCCGGAGAGAATAGACCCTTCGGCTCCATGGATGTGAAGGAGGAGATAGTACACGTTCCTTACTCCGCACGGCATCTCTCAGTACTCCCCACCCAAGAGCAGGTGGTCCTGTAGGGAAGGGCCATCCCAGCAGCCATATGCCAGGTGAGGCCTGGCCTCAAGCCTCATCCATCACTGTGGGCACAGAAATGGCAGACACATCAGGGTCTAAAGGTGGGGGCGACCTTCCATTTCAGTCCATTTCAAATGAGCCACGTGACAGCTCGCCACCTTTGGGGTGGCCTCTGCACCTCAGCAGAAGGCATGCGCAGAGCCATTTTCCCAGATGGAAGGAGGACTCAGTGGCGAGCCATCCCCAGGTAGACCCCAGAGACGCTGGCTGAAGGTACTGTCTGAGGCAAGCTGCCGACCCTAAAGCTTGACCTCATCCTCTGCTGTAACTCACTAACTTGAAACCAGACCTCAGGAAGCATTCTTGTCTGTACAGCTTTGTCCCGCCTGTGGCCCATCAGGCTGAAACCAGTGGTACTGGCCAGAGGCCGTCAAGATTCTGTGACCAGTCAGGTGGCTCTTACACAAGACACTAACCCTTTTTTAAAGGGGGAACGGACTGTGTCGACAACTCAGAAAAGCACCCAAATCCACAGGCATTTCACCCCAGAAGGGAGACCCTGCAGGGTAACCAGGGCAGCCATGCCGAGGCGGGGGATGGGTGTGCGTGATCGGAGCCAAGGCTTAAAATGGGGCGACTGAACCAGGGTGAACGCCCTCTTCCGTCGTGCAAGGAGGAAGCCACGGAGAGCACTGAGAGAGACTGCCCCTCTCTGTTAGGATGCTGGGATTCCAGGGCAGTAACAAGGAGAATGTTTCAGAGCCAACTTACTGCAGGCAAGGGGGGCAAACCAAGATGGTGGGCAAAACCAAGGTGGCAGGGCCAACCCAAGAGGCTGGGGCCAAACCAAGACAGTGGGGCAAAACCAAGACGTTGGCGCAGTGGGTTTGGAGTGTGTGATGAGGTGAGGGGCAGATGGTGCGCAGGTGAAGGGCGGTGGGTTCCCCAGCCTCCAAGGATGGAGATGGTTAGTGACGCTCATCCCCGGGAAAAGCCAAGGAAAGGCAGGGGAGCAAGGAAGTGGCCTCCACCTTGTGCCACCCCGGGCCCAGCGTCGCCCTCCTTCAGGGGGAGCCAAAGGAAGGGAAAGGCAAGGCGAGCCTCTGTCTTTCTCTCTCTGAACCACTGCCCCAACCTCACGCAACCCCTGCTTGCTGGGCCTCGAGGGGCACCCAGCACGCTGGGAGGAAAGCGCTTCCCCCGTCCTGAATCACCTCGTTACCCGCGCTACATAAATAACGAAGGCATCCCTGCGAGATGGGGAAATGCCAAGGAGCAGAGCTCCGCACCATGGTGCTGTGAACTCGTGCCCCCCTCCTTCCCTTCGTCCAGACAAGGCCCTTTG